CGTTACGGTTACGGTTACGGTTACGTTACGTTACGTTTACGTTAGTTGTAGTACGTCTTACGTTAGTTACGTAGTACGTACGTACTGTGTATATGTGTGTAATATATATATATATATATATATATATATATATATATATATATTGTACAACACACCCACAAAATTTTAGGGTAATCAGATTTTTGAAAAAAATAAAATAAAATTCAAAGACTATTAGAAAATTGTGGCCGCTGGATGGACTTTGGACAATGATGAGCCCATGAGTGAAATACTCTAGAACTTCACTCTATGAGACCATTGGACGTCACAATTACTTGTAGCAATTAGATACTAAATTAGATGGGTTGGAGTGATTTGTTTTTTTTTTTTTTTTTAACTTGGAGTTCAATCAATGACACTCTCAGAACTAGCCGATTTGAAATCTGACGGACAAGAATGACTTTGACCTTCTTGTTATTATCTATACACTTAGTTACATTTGTCATTGTTATTGTCTATATACTTATATCAATATACAAGTACTTTTAACTGATATGCATATTGTTGCTATCAATAAGAGCTGCCTCTTGTTCTGCATGGCATCTCATTAAGCTGTGCTTCCTTGTTGATGTTTTATTGAACCTCCTTTACAATGCAAAAATTCATCTTGTCACTTTCTGTGTTTTTGTGGATTGGTGCTAGTAATTCTTTAAAACAGCATGTAGTTTTTAGAATGCCACAAACCCAGTGGTGTGGAGCAGTCTTACTCTCAAGTCTCAATATCCCGTGATTTCTCTCGAATGCTTTATCTAGAAAGACGACATAGTGATGAGACATTGGCATGCATCTAATCTTGTTATGTGCGCATAAGAGAATTCATTTGTGCATGGTTATTCTTTGTTTCCCTTTTGTAATCCAAGTTAATTCTTGTAGGAAAAGTTTGGATATCTTATAGATGATTCTTGTAGGTATAATTTCTCTTAGGAATCTCCATATTGATTTCAAGGATTGTATACTTCAGGACAGTTTACCAAAAAGTTACAGTTACCCCTAGCCATCATTTCATTTTCTATGTTTTTTGGATTGGTATATTCATTCTTTAAAATATATGTATTCATCAACATTTAGTTTATTGAGTTTGGTTAGAATACCACAGATCGACTTGTATGGAGTTCTCTCACTCTTGTGATCCCATAAATTCTCCCTCTAACACTTTGTCTTGAAAGAAAACATGGTAATGAGATATTGCGCTGCATCTAACCTTGTTAAGTGCGCATAATATATACTAGTTCTTGTAGGAAAAGTTTGGTTATCTTATAAATGATTCTTGTAGGTATAGTTTCTCTTTGGAAACTCCATATTAGTTTCAAGGATTTTATAACTTACTACGGTTTACTTGCGATACAAAAAAGTGACAATTGCCCCAGTCAGACGAGAAATACAGGATTCTAATAGTTTTGCGCTGTAAAGGAAAATTGTAATAGATTACTCAAAAAAAGAAGGAAAATTCTAATAGACTTGCACTGCATAGCATGTACATCACACAAGCACCACATAATTTGAGAGTTTTAGCTTTTGCCACTTTCGTCATTTTAGGTAAGTCATCAAGGCAGATGTTCCCTACTAGTGAAACTTGATTGAAAATGACATGTACATCATGTAACCCCTTGAACGTAATTTGTTGCATCAAATTTTATACGCATGGAAATGGAGTGCTTGGAGGTCTCCATATGATCAGTTCTTCAAAATGTTCTCCCAATAATGGCCGTCACCAAATTTCCCCAACGAATTCCTCTAGTCCTGGTCAAGTTGTGCCTCAACATCTGTAATTGATGTTCTCATGTTTGCATAAAAATTAGTCATGAATCATTTTCTATGATAAGCTTCCTAATGTTGAGTTCCATGACCTAGATGACCCTAAATATTTCAGATTCAGCGAATTTTTCAAAACAGACCCACGAGGTATTATAATCTCTTCATTAACCCTTTCCAACAGGGTTTGCTGTTGTCAACCCATCAGAAGAAAGGGAGGGAGGGAGGGGGGGGGGGGGCAACTTTTCTAGTGCAAAGTTGCCAGAAGGTGAGTTGCCTATCACCATACTCTTTGAGTGTTCTTCCTGGTTCTCTCTTGCCTAGAATAAATTTTCCTAGGTGAAAAGTATTAAGTTTTACTAGTTCAATAGTTTTCTGCTCAAACGATTATTGAGTGTATAGGGTTCGAGTCCAAGATACAAGACTTAAAAATTTTCTTTAATACAACCTTATAAGCCAAATGGGAGTAAGTGACTTTGAATATTAAATATCCGAAGTTAGACCTTCGTATATATAAAAAGCCAAACGTGACGTAATAGGTCCACAAAGGTCCTTAATAGGGCCATAAAGGTTGCAAGAAAGTGCTTCCCAAGACTTTAGGCCTTTAAAGAACCTAATAGTTCCATAAGGGCGTGTTTGATAACTAGAAGATACTTACCAAAAGATGGAACTTACTTGTTCCTGTAGCAGTTTCATGTTTGATAAAAACAAGTAAGCTGCAACGAAGAGGGTATTTGCTTGCCCCCGACTGCCCTAACCACAGAGTAGAGACCATCTCGCGCCTTATCTTTGCACTTATGAGCCTCCTCACAAAGGTACATCTCAATTTTTTCTCTCTCTGGTTTCTCTCTCTCCCCTGATTTTTTTCTCTCTGGTTTTTTCTCTATCCCATGGCTTGTTTGCTCTCTCTGATTTTTTCTCTAGGTTCCGAACATGGTGAAAATGGATCTAGGATTTTCTCTAAATATTGTTTTGTGGTAAATTGTTCTCTTTCGGGAAAAAATAATTTGCCTGTTTTTGTATGGTAAACAGTTTTCTGTAGAAACCTTGGCCCTTGCCCCTCTTCCCTTCCCTTCAAGCCTTCCTTTCTCCACTCCAGCTAAATTTCACAGTTCTCTCATTTTCCAATTCTTCTTTTCATCAGGTTTCTTCTACTACACAGGTGACAATCATAAACATTTGGTCTCCCCTTTTTCTTTTTTGTAATTGCTATCATCTGAAAATGAGATAATCAATGAGATTGCTTAAATTTAATTCATGGTTAGCTTATTTTTTTCTTCATTGATCGTTCTTTTGTTGGTCGCGAAGAAAAGAAAGAAAAAAAATTGCAGTATTGCTTTCCTTTTTGCCATAGGTTTAGATTAAGCTTACTTTTTAGTTTTCAATATCAAGCATAGGGTTTTATCTGACCATTGAGAATGTAGTTATAGAATCAGCGAACAAAAAAAAAAAAAACTTGTTATAGATTGACTGGAATTTTTTGCAAATAACAACATTTCTCAAGGAAATCAGCAGGTAATTTGTTGAGTTTATTGTGGAATTTTAGTTCAGGAAATGGTTGAAGAATCCAATATTCAATATAATTAATCCTGACTATTTGATGTATAGAATAGTCTTTCTAGGCAGAACAGAACAAATCATTGCCATGAAGTTTGAATGAGAGAAAATTGATTATCTTTGATGATTAAGGTGAATTTTAGTTATGATTGTGATTGGGGTAATTGTGAAATATTTAAAGGTTTATTGCTTCTAAAGTTTGTATAACTCTTTCATATGACTCAACTATCCAAAAAAGAATGTCAATGTTGCTCACCATTATAATGTCAATGCTGCTCACTATTATACAGTTTATAGTATGTTATCAGTTGAAAATTGGCCCTTCATATAGCTGTATTGGACTAATTTTTCTCACGAATGAATAGATCGATAGTAACATAGCTTTTGATGTTTGATGCTCTTTTTTGGTATTTTCTAATGATGTTTGATAAACACATAATAATAATAATATAGTTATTCTGTCTGTGTGTGTAGACTACTGAGTAAGGCCTGTTATGTAACTTTGAACTTCCTTATATTTTGTCTGTGTAGACTGGATCATTATTTTGTCTGTGTGTATAGATGACAATGTAAGGCCTGTTATGTAACTTTGAACTTCCTTATATTTTGTCTGTGTAGACTGCATCATTATTTTGTCTGTGTGTATAGATGACAATGTAAGGCCTGTTATGTAACTTTGAACTTCCTTATATCCCAGCACATTATCAAAGACAGAGACTAGTGTTTCAAAAAGCACTAGGCGGGTCCTGGGCGGCCTGGGGGGTCCAGGCCTCCCAGCGCCTAGGCGGGCACTGAGAACCTGGGCGGCCCAGTTGAATCCAAAAAGGATTCTACAGTTTAAACATATATATATATATATTGTATAAAAAATAAAAATTAGGCATTTAGAGCACATCATAATTCAAATTATATTACACATTAGTATTTAGCGCACACTCCATAAGCATAACCATAAGTTGGTAACTCCATATCCAATTAAAACTTAAAATTTACCAACCAACCAAATTACCAAACCAAAGTATCAAACCAATGGAACTACAAATCCACTATCCACAATACACCAATATAAATCATCAAAAATTAAATCTCATATCAATGGGTGATGTTTTGATCAATTTTTGTTAACTTTGAGAAACCTTTAGATCCTAAAGAATTTTTTTGGGGGCTTTCTGGGCTCCAATAAGTTTTAGGTTTCAAATGAACCTAAAACCCTAATTTTTGGCCATTTAGTACAAAAAAAATGGACAAAAAATGCCCCCACCAACACCCATTTCTGCCTCGGGGTGGGGTGCAGGCCTTGGGCGGCTGCCTAGGCGGATTTAGTACCGCCTAGGCGGCCGCCCAGTTTGGCCGCCTAGGCCTGGGCGATGCGCCCAGGCCTTCTGGACCGCCTAGGTGGCCGTCTAGGAGCTAGGCGGTCTGCTTTTTGAATCACTGACAGAGACCCATAACTTCTTTAACGTACCAGTAGGTTTTCAAACACAGAAAACCAGAAATTCTTTAACATTCCAGCAGGTTATCAAATACAGAAACAACTTCTTACAGTAACTTCTTTCTTCTCAGCAACGAAGAACTTCCAATTTGCAGGGAACATTTACCTTCCAGTTATCAAACACGCCCTAAAAGTCCTTACAAACCTAATATGGTTGTAAAGCGCACGAAGGTTTTGTGCCCTTACAGATGTAATGGGTCTGTAAGGGCCTTGAGTAGGTCAATTTTTCGCATAGAATCATGCATAAAAGATACACTTAAATTTTTTGAAATTCCCTCCTGATGTTCAAAATCTCTTACACTTTCCCGGCATCTTTTTTCGTATTTACTGTCGAAGAAGAAGAGGAAAAATAGAATAATAAGGTGGAGGGAGGGGGTGAATAAAAATTGGCAGCTACCTTGCTGCATTCTTATTTTGCTTCAAATTTTGTTGCTTTTTTGGGCCTCCCAGTGTTGCTGCTTTGTGTTTTTTCTTTCTTTTTTCTTTTGTTTTGAGTTTCCTATAACAGGGTTTTCAGATATGGTGTTAGCGTTTTTCTTTCTCCTATAATGGATAAGAAAAATTAGATTGTTGTCAGAAAACCCTAACAATTTCAGCTGGTATGCCATGTGTGAAAATTACAAACCTTAACTCCTCAGCTGCTGATGCTGCTATTCTCACTATTCATTGCAATTTCTGTGTATCTGGTTCCAATTTGGATTGGGACAACACAGTCCCAATTTCACTTGTCTTTTCCCATCTTATGATTTCTTTTTTTTCCATATCTGAATTTTCTTCATGCTTTAGTATCATAAGTTGAAACGAGTTATCTTTTCTTTTTTATGAATTTCCAAGTTTATGTTGGATTTCTAGCATGTATGGTTTTTCTCTTTGGAGGTTATTCTTATATTCAATAGATAGGCACTTTTTCTCTTCAAGATTGGGTAGGTAACCCATGAAGTTTATAGCATTAGCAGCATTTTCCTATCATCTTCTTACAAAACTAAATCACGCCCATATCATTTACTTACGATGGCACTTTTTTTCTTTTCCCTCCTCCCATTGCTTAGTCTTGCGCCGATATTGATATTCAGTTCAATATCCATGTCCTTGAGTTCCTCTTGAATTTCTACGAAACATATCTTCCGCTGTGATTTTGTCTTCACACCTTGTCTTTCTGTAGCTGCATCATCTTTCCTACTTACTTTACCTTTTTATTGGTTTAATGGATCGACAAGTTTTCACTTTCCAATTTTTCCATTTTTATGAGTACTTCAAGTCTTAAAATCTCTTATTAATTTTGTGACGTTTTATTGAAAAGGAAGTATTTACCATCCATGTCTCACAGGTCTGCCTAAAATAAAGATGATTGGTTAATTTATTTCCTTGTGTTATTGTTTTCCCTTAATTTGATGACATGATATGTGATGAATATTATGCCTTATCCTATTCCTTGTTTCTCCATACATTAATTGAGATTATTATATATACATCTTTTCAAACTTCCCTCAATTTCTATGTTTCTATCTAATGACACTATCTTGCTTGTTTCTCTGCTGCATTCTTATTAACTGCAGCAGCTGGCTGCGGATGAGGTGGTGGAGAGTAGGCTCCCTTGCAAGGAGGCTATGGGAAGTCCCCACACCCTCTTCACCATATTTCTTCTTTGATCATCAGTTTTACACATCCCATTTTCTTAATCTCTCCATAATAGCATCTTTCTCAGAGCAGCAGCTCAAGGGAGGCATCCTTTCCTCATCCTGTAGAAGAATTTCTCATCATGATCCCTTGAAATTTGAAGAAGTTCATTTAATCTATAATAGGCATGGTTTTCCTACTGCCTCCCCTCGACAACAACATCGCCGTTTGCTTCATTCCTTGATTTCCACTTCCCAAGACTGTGAAAGGTCTCTCGATTCATTGGTTCCCCTCTTCTTTTCATCCCCCAAAAAGATACTGAAATCCCAGTACTTGGAAAAGTGGGAGAGGTTTTTCTCTCAGCTGGGGAATTTCAGCAACCGTCAGACTATTATTGAGAAGGTTTTGGAGCATTCTGCGAGGTTTCAGCTCGATCCTGTGAAGTCCCATGAAATTCTCGATTTCCTTGGCACTTTTCAGGTCAGTGATGCTGTTGTGGGGGAGATTCTCGAAGCTTCTCCATGGTTGATGTTCTTGGATTGCCAAGTGGATTTGGAGCCCAAAGTAAAGGTTTTGAAGGATGCAGGCATCAGAGAGGAGTCGATAATTAGGATGCTAACCAAAAGCCTTTCTAAGCTAGCATCTATAGGATTGGATGAGCTTGTACTGGAGCTTGATTACCTCATGGGACTGGGGTTAAGCAAAGGGCAGCTGGATGAGGTGTTGTACGAGTTTCCTGATATTCTAGGACTTGGGGTTGACGCTAGGTTGAAGCCTCTGGTCTCTGAGTTAGAGAGGTTAGGTTTTCAAGGCGACAAGTGCCAAAAGGCAATTATGGATGATCCTCGTGTTTTTGGCATGGAGATTGGAGGGGAGCTCTCTCGATGCTTTAATTTGTTGAAGAATTTGAAATGCAGGCCATTGATTAAGGCGAGAATTCTTGATCATGGGGCTATAAGAGCTTGTGTTCGAGTGAAAACAAGAGTGGATTGCCTTTGCAAACACGGGCTGAACCATAGAGAAGCTTTCAAGCTTTTGGAACGTGAACCTCGAATTATTACTTATGATCTCTCAGGCATTGAGCAGAAGATTGATTTCCTACTGAACCGGATGGGTTATTCAATTGGAAGTCTAATGGATGCCCCAGAATACTTGGGTGTGAATTTTGAAAAGCAGATAGTTCCTAGGTACAGAGTTATAGAATATTTGAGATCGAAAGGTGGTCTCGGGTTTAATGTGGATCTGAGATGTATGATGAAGCTGACCAGACGACGGTTTTGCAACCTTTTTGTCAAACCATACCCAGAATGTGAAAAGCTCTATGGGAGTTCAAAAAGAGGCATGGCTGCTGAAACAAGAAAATCACTTGAGCTTTGGAAATTGTTTAAGCCTGAAAAATTTCCCGAGTCCAAGGAGGATATCAAGAATATCAAACAGTTCATGGAATCAATAATTTAGTGTTTTACACGTTAGATTCAACAGAGGAAAATTCGGTGGTCCAAGTTGGCGGTAAAATGGTCATTGACTAATGTCAAATGCAAACCAAGTAGTTCCACATGAATATCCTTTTTGCTACAAGCTTTTTGAGATCAAAATGGTGATAATAATGAGGAAGCTGATTTTGGTTAAAGAAACAGACTTGCTTTTGTGTTTGTATACCGACTTTTGATCAAACAAGTCAGCTATGCATACTGCAAAGTTATCCTCGCCAATGCAGGGCAAATCAAAATGTATTCCCCGCCAACTAGATTTCATTTGCTTGGCAATCAAGTGAAGGACTTCGTTGTGACTGTCCAGGTAGAGTTTTTGAAGTATAACAACGTTATGGAGCATAATTTTATCCTCACCAATGCAGGGCAAATCAAAATGTATTCCTGTGATGTATAGTTGTATATGCAATTGCTGACATGGCTAATGATGTGCAATGACTACTATCATCCCAGTTTTATTCATGAATTTTTCTTTATTTGGTGATGTGCATGGTAATCCCATAAACTTATATCGAAGTGTGATGTTTGCTGAATATATAGGCTGATAAAGTTCGATGCCTTTAAATTCTTATTGCAGCAACTAGATTTCATATGGCCGGCAATCGTTTATTGGTATACTTATGGTTATCATTTGAAGTTCAATGCCTTTCAATTCCTATTGTATGAATGAGATTTTGTATGACAGGTTTTGTCAGAAGTTCATTCTAATCCTCACGAGTGATATAATCAAGGTGATCAGCTGCTCGTTTTGTCATAACCTGACACTCAATGAACTTTTACACAGTCTTTGATGTAAAATTACTGAGTTCAAATCTTCTCTATAACCTTTGGATAGATGGGCTAGAAATACAATACCTTTTATGAAGTACACTAATTGCATCGAGTCATCTGAAATGCTTCTCCAAGTTGGTGCGGTGAGGTTTGTAATAACAATTACTTGGTAATGTCATTTAATCTTGAACTACCAAGGCTGGGTTATAATCGATTCTCATAAATGAAATGTTACTTCTCAAGAAGAGAAGTCTAGTTCCGTCATCCATGATCGATAGTACATCTTGACTTCCTACATATTGCATAGCAAAACCAAATAATTGAAAGGAGCATTAAGTTTTCTGTGATGAAATATTGAATAAGGTTGGTTATATCAAGTATCTCGGTGTAATCAGGGGATGTATACTAAAAAAGACAAGACCAATGAGCCAGTGAAAAGAAAAATACAATGGGGAGAAGAGGGATGCAATTAAGAGAGGTGAAGAATTAGTAATATCCCAGTTAATTTCAAAAAAAGGAAAAAAAAGAGAGGTGGTAATATCCATTGGCCCACCACTAGCTTGTGTGAGAATGTCAATGTTGGAGCTCGGCACGCCTCCCATGATACTAACTCATCATCCACAGTAATTCTTCTCTCTGCAATCCCACTTGATGACATTTAATGAATTGTCTTCTGCAATCATGAGGGATTGAGACAAATGGAGGATTGTCAACTAGGCTTTTGTTTCCGCCCTCGTAACATTACAAATGTTGATTATCCCTGTTTAGGTTTTTAAGTGTTCTGATGAGTTTATTTATTACTTTTTGTTTGGAGCATAGTCTTCGACGAACTCTGCAAGTCTGTCAAACTGTGCTCGAGCTTGGGATCCTAGCGCGATCAAGTCTTTGTTTTACATCACCATGACGTCCATCTGTCTATGAGGTCAAACTTGGTCATGCACATATGCAATTGTAAATAAACTTGTTCCTGCAGATGATATATCTTCAATACAATCCTACAAAGTGTAAATAGCTTTTGAAATATTCCATGAATTTGAAGAGATGTCCTTATTCACTTCCTAGACTCCCATTTAGGAGAAATGACAGTACCATTTAGCCCCAGGGAGTAGTAATACATGATTATATTTCTCGCTAACTCAGTCCCATTTCTGGACCGCGTTTGTGAACTATGGATATTACAAAACAGTACTTATATAAAATCACAACCTTGAATGTAAGGTACTCATCCCGGAAACGAAGATTCTCAGTAGAAAGGAATCCCACTAAAAAGATATTGATTCCTTCTCGGATAGACTCCATAAATTCCAGGCTTCCCATAAAGGTTAGCAAATGAAGTCGGACAAGTAATCAAGATGCTGAGGTCATGTTCAACAACGATGACATAGCTGGAAAAAAAAACACGAAAAAGAACAAGAAACTCATCCCTATTTTAGATTGTCACATCTGAAAACAAGTAAAGAATAAGATTGACAGATAACTAGTGTGAAATTGAATGGAGTTGCAGGCATTAGATGTACCTCTTGGGGCGGAGTAAAGATTGAATTGCTTGTGCAGCTTTTAGCCTTTGTTTTATGTCAAACATATATATTTCAGCATTCCGAACTCCAACAAGAGCAATTGTAAACCTCTACAGTTCTCTGCTTGAGAGGTTCCCAATATTCCAACTTGATTCAACTCAAGATCATGACGAGTCATGACGAACTTCCGCCTTCATCTCCCTCTCATCATTTTAATCAAGCACCAGACCAATATTCCCTTTTCACTGCCTTGATTATGGGATCAACATGCTGAAGCTTGATGATAGCCTGTCTATCATCGCAATAGTTAACAAGGGAGGAATGGATTGGACAATCACACTAAGTTGCGAATTTTCTTTTTAACAAATTCAAGCAATGGTTTTCCTCAACAAAAAAAAAAACAAAACAAATTCAAGCAATGAAAATATTGACGTAAGGCTACTTATCAATATGTTATATATTTAAGTATAGCTAAGAAGACTTAGAGAAAATTAGCCACCAGCAATGTATATAAAGAAAGAGACGCATGATTTGCTTTATCCTTTTGCTAATGAACCACTTGCAAGAGTAAAGAAACAAGGGTTGAATCAGAAGAGTTCCATCTCATGGAGAGGACAGAAAGCGGGACATTAGCATCATGCCTTCAAAAAAGGGGTAGATAATCATTCAATCAGAACTCGTGAATTCAAAGAAAATGTTCAGAAGCTTTAGAATAAGCTCTGCTCCATAGACCAAAACACAAGAAATAAAAAGGAGAATAAGGGTTCCTTATTACATTAAGAGGCCTCCACCTCAAATCTCTTAATGGTATCATAGCTCTATTCTACTCTACTGTATGTAACCAATACAAACTGTAGAGAACCCAAGCTCAAGAGTACCAGCAACAGCTTCGAGGAATGAATGCATCAAGAAATTACAAAAGGGACTTGGCCGCTGCAATGACATTGTCCACAGTAATGCCAAACTCCTTGTACAAGGTTCCGGCAGGAGCACTGGCACCAAACCGGTCGATCCCAATGCTCTTACCTTTGCTTCCGACAATCTTCTCCCACCCAAATGTTGACCCTGCCTCCACACTCACTCTTGCCGTCACCTCAGCAGGGAGGACACTCTCCTTGTAATCATCCGACTGCTCGTCAAACAGCTCCCATGACACAAGGGACACAACCCTAACTGCCTTCCCTTCCTTCCTGATCTCATCTGCTGCCTTTACAGCGATCTCCAGCTCAGAACCGGTGCCGATAAGGATGAGATCAGGCTTGTTGCGCATTGAGTTGTCGCTCACAATGTACCCTCCTTTCTCAACTCCCTCAATCGTCGTGCCTGCTAGCTGGGGGAGCTTTTGGCGAGAGAGGGCGAGCACCGAGGGCCTCTTCCTGTTGAGGACCGCGACCTTATAAGCACCGGCCGTCTCGTTCCCGTCCCCTGGGCGGAGCATCAGGATGTTGGGCATGGCCCTGAAGCTCGCAATATGCTCAATGGGCTGATGGGTGGGCCCATCCTCCCCAAGCCCAATGGAATCATGGGTCATCACGTATATGACACCGGCTTCACATAGAGCTGATATCCTCATGGCAGCCCTCATGTAATCTGTGAAAACAAAGAAGGTGGCACAGTAGGGTATGAGGCCACTGTGGAGGGCAATCCCATTGCAAATAGCACCCATGCTGTGCTCCCTCACACCAAACCGCACATTCCGCTGCTCGGGGGTATCTTTCTGGAAGTCCCCAAACATCTTCAGCAATGTCATGTTCGAGGAGGCAAGATCTGCACTGCCACCGAGGAGTCCTGGAAGGACCTTAGCGAGCGCATTGAGGCATTGCTGGGATAGGTTTCGGGTGGCGTCAGCAGGGCTCTCAGCGGTGTACACCTAGCAAGAAAACAAACAAAACAACCATTACTACTTAGGAAAAGGAGCATAATCAAGACCGAACACTATGGCAAGGTGAAGAAAGAGATGGTTGCTTGTAAAGAGTATGAAGGGGATTTGATTTTGTACTCACTGGGAGAGCCTTCTCCCACCCATCTGGCAGTTGACCAGAGATGAGTTCCTTGAATTCTACAGCTTCCTCCTTGTACTTCTTTTCATACTCTGCCAATTTGGCTTGCCATTCTGCTTCCAGGGAAGCACCTTCGGAAACATGCCGGCTCCAATGACTGCAGCAATATGCAATGAAAACAAGGGGATCATTCTAAATCTGAAAAAAGAAATTGAATGCATCTTTGTAGAAAAGGAAACATAGGGCCAAGGATGGGTACTACCTCTTGACATCATCTGGGACATGGAAAGGCTCATATGGCCATCCAAGGTTCTGGCGGGTGGCATCCACCTCCTTGGCTCCCAAGGCACTTCCATGAACACTGTACGAATTGGCCTTGTTTGGGGACCCATAACCAATGGTGGTGGTAACCTGAATGATAGACAAGGAAGCCCAGTGAGACTCAAGCAATTGCAAGATGATATCACATAGTAGGAGTGGATTGAAATATATGGCTAAGGACCTTAATGAGAGTGGGTTTGTCCTTAACAGCCTTAGCCTCTTCAATGGCAGCACGAATCTCATCGTACCCGGTGTTACCATTCTTAACCCAGATGACATGCCAACCCAGGCCCTCGAAACGTGTATCAACAGTCTCAGTGAAGGCAATTTCGGTGTCACCATCAATGGAGATGTGGTTGTCATCATAGAAAGCAATGAGCTTCCCAAGACCCCAGTGCCCAGCCAAGGAGCAAGCCTCATTGGAGATACCCTCCATTTGACATCCATCTCCAAGAATACAGAATCTATATGTGCACAATAAACATAACAATAAACATTTATGTTCCTTTCAAAGGGGGAGGGTACTAATGGCTTAAAACTCAAAAGAGAAAGAAGCTATGCATATCTCGAGTAGATGAGACATACGTGTAGTGATCGACAATCTCAAAACCGGGCTTGTTGTATCTGGCAGCTAAATGTTTCTCAGCAAGAGCTAACCCGACAGCATTTGCAACTCCTTGGCCCAAAGGACCTACGGGAGTGCAACACAAACAATTCAGACATAATAAGTATTCAGTTGCAGTCATAGTGAAAAGCCAAACAGTTTTGTTTCGGGGAGAGAGAGAGAGACAGAGTGTGTTGCTAACCAGTTGTGACTTCGATGCCAGGAGTCTCGAAGTTTTCAGGATGGCCAGGGGTCTTGCTTCCCCACTGCCTAAAGGATTTCAAATCTTCTTCCTGTTTAGTCATAAAAATCCAGTTCTGAATAGTAAATCCAAACGAGAATCTGATAAGGAAACCAAAATAAAAACCCCAAATCAAATATTGAAGACAGACCAAGCAGTTGAAGTATACATATGCGCAACTACTGTTCTAAAAGGCGGACCGCCCAACGCCTAGGCGATCCAAAGGGCCTGGGCACCTCAGGCCTAGGTGGGCACCCAACGCCCAGGAGCAGAAATGCCCCTCGTTGAGGAACATTTTTTAGTTCTTTTCGAAAACGAAGGGAATAAAGGTGGATTTTAGGTTCATTTGAAACTTAAATCCTATTAGAGCCTATTTTTAGAGAGAGAAAATGATGTCCATAGGATTGAAGGGTTTCTCAAAATTACGAGAAATCGATCTAAACATCACCCATTGAGGTTAGATTTAATTTTGGATGTTTTATAAGTCTATTAGAGGGTTTTCCATAAGATTTTGACCTTAGAAAACATCTCAGAGATGGAAGTTTGGATATCGAGCAATCAAAGTTCGTGAAAATTTTTATTTTTTAGATTTTGCTTGTATTATTTTGAGATGTCTTCTTTAGTATCGAATCAACGTGGAGATCCGGATTGGAAATATGGCTAGAACCTGAATCCTTTGGATAAAAATTGAATAGGATGTAATTATTGTGTAAAGGATACAAATGGGGGCATAAACCAAATTAAGAACATTTTGCCGATATTAGGGGGGATATTGCCCCATGTAAAAAGGTTCATGATGCTAATAGAGAAGAGATTAAATTTTTTATGAGTATTGTAAAGAAAGAAAAAAGAGGAGAGAGAGGCATCCATAGCAAAGCTGAGGTTTGGGGTTCGAGTCAATTTTGATGACGATGATGATGATAGTGATTAGGAGGGGGGAGGGGGTGTCAAGACGTAGAACAACTTGCCCTATCCCAAACTAGGGGGAAGGGAAAGGGAGTTGTACTTGGTTATGGGAGTGGGGGGCCTAAAAGGCCTCGGGTTAGAGGGCCTATGGATTGTAGTTTGCCCCGGTCTGACCTTGAGGTTACATGAGAGAAAACAAATAAGCAAACTATTGAAAATAAAATCAAGAAGGAAGAGAGAAATAGAGCTGCACAACACATTACTAGATGATTTTATGAGGCACACATTCCTTTCAATGCCTCTCACCTAAGAAGCTTCTGCACCTTGGTAGGGGCAATTGACTAATTTAGTCCTGGGATGAAACCCCCAACCCCATATAAGCTTTCAAAGCCTCTTTTGATGCATGGTCTTAGTATGGAGCTTCTGTTATGACTGATACTTGGAGTGATTGGAAGAGAAGAAGCCAGATGTATTTGCTGGTGCATTGTCGTTTAGGAACTATTTTTTTGAGGTCTATTGATGCTTACGATAATAACTATGATGCCCATTACATGTTTCAGGTGATGAAGAAAGGAATCAAGGAGATTGGGAAGGAGCATGTTCTACAGGTTGTCACAGATAATGCTACTCTTAACGTTGCTACTGCTAATTTGTTGCGCCTAGCCTACACTAGAATCTTTCGGACACCATAAGCAAGACATGGTGTAGACCTCATGCTTGAGGGTCTTAGCGGTTTGAGAGATATTTCAGGTACAATGAAGAAGGCAAAGTCAGTTGTGCCTTTCTTTTATAGCCACACCCTCACCCTCAGCATTATGTGTAGATTTACAAATAAGAAATAGATTGTGAGGCCCGAGGTCACGAGATTTGCTACTTGGTACTTATGCCTATATAGCATACATTCGATAAGGGTCCAGTTGAGGCAGATGTTTACCTCGGATGAGGGGAGAGCATGCAAGTGGTCAAAGGATCAAGTTGGGAAGAAGGTGAGAGATATTATCCTTTCTAAAGCGTTTTGGTGAGGGGTGAATGACGCTCTTAAAGTATGTTTTCCTCTTGTCGAAGTCCTTCCACGGTTAATAGTGACAAGACCTCTATAGGCTACATATATGAGGCAATGAAGAGATGCAAGAGAGAGATAGCCTAAAATTTACATGATGATGTGAGCTGCTATGAGCTTATTTGGAAGATTATTGATGAGAAGTGGGATAGGCAGCTACATCGGCTATTGCATGAAGCTGGTTATTTTTTTAACCCAACTTTTTTTTGTGTTGATAGGGATGTACACACAAATGACACAACTATGACTGGATTTAATTAGCGTGTAGATGTGCTAGTCCTTAATTTCGATATCCAAGATAATATATGTGTTGATGAGCTAATCAGTTACAAGTGATGATTAGAGTCTTTTGGGAGTCTGGTGGCAGTAAAGCAAATGACCAAAATTGATCTAGGTAATAATATTCTTAAGTTCCTCAAGTTCAAGTTTCATTTCATGTTTGTTATTTGTTTTCCATAATCTATAATTCTATATCTTAATATTTCATATATTATTAACAATTGTAATTCAATATCAATTTGCAACAATTGGTGGAGCCAACACGGGTGTACTGGTCCAAAATTACAAAAGTTGGCCATTCAAATATTGAGCCTAACCACTACCTCATCCGGCTATGAGCGGAATTGGAGTACTTTTGAGATGGTAATTTAATTTACTTGATTAGTAATTACTAATTTTGTAATAGTACTTTAGCAGTAACTATTTACTTAGTCTTAGTTATTAATTACTTATGTCAGTTGTAATTTGTAAATTTGTAGTTTTGTAGTATTACTATTGTATATTCAATTACTTACATTAATTAGTTTCATACCAAGAAAAGGAACATGCTTCAATCAAAGAGGCTAAATGATCTAATCTATGTCAAATATAATCGATACTTGAAAGAGAGGTTTGCTAAGAGAGATAAGAGAGACCCACTCAGATTTGAAAATATGGATAATGCTTTGAAATGGATGGTTGATGATAATGAGGTCGAGGGGCATGAAAGATTGACATAGAATATAGTCGTGGAGGCCTGAGGGACATGAGCCAACCCTCCTAAGGCCACTAGATCTTCTTCCCAGAGGACGAGGGTGGTGCAAGAGGAGGAGGCAAAGGAAGATTCAGAAGAGATAGAGGAGGACAACCATTATGTCGAGGAGGGAGATGATTCCGATGATGATGGCATTGACTCCGATGCATATGATGCAGATGCAGATGCAGTTGATGATGATGATGGCTTCGACTCCGATGCATATGATGCAGATCCTGCTTTTTCTAATGATGAGTAATGACTGATGATTGAAGACTCTTTTGATTTTGAGTCTTCATGTCTATATTTCTTTCATTTTTGTTTTCCTCCTCTTGGTTGTCTCTTGTGGTTTGGTAACTTTGGTTTGTAAATTTTAAGTTTTAACTATGTGTGAAAGAGTGTATGTGCTATAGGGACATGTGGACTATAGACATTTAATCATGTGTCCTAACTCTCATGTGTTATTTTTTATTTTCTTTCATTTCTTGATAATGAATTGATGTCTTGCTAAGTTGCTATCTTGAATTATGGACTGAAATATACCTCAATATGCATTTTTTAATATGTCTCAATATGAAATGCATGGAATTATGGACTTCAATATGTTTTTGTAAAAAAAATTTACACAATCTGATCCTTAAAACAACTTTTCTTTTTAATGGACCACCCAAGTTCTAGGCGTTCGCCTAGGAGCTGGGCGGCCTGGATCCCCCAACCTCCTAGGTGTGTCCCAACATTTTTTGAAACACCACAAGCACTTTTTCTAAGCACACAACGGTGATCTAGCACCACCATGCATATGTCACTCTTTTAGTCATATCCGAACATATTTTACATAATCTAGTAAAAAGGCTAGGTTGATCTAATAGCATCTTCGCAAATAAATATTCAAACAGAGCACAAATTCTAAAAAGTATCAAACCAAAACAGGAAAAAAATCAGAATCGCTCCTTCGACTAATTTATCCCATGCATCAACAAAAGTACAGTCTTGTGATAGTAGATATACCCTGAATCCAAATTATTTTTTATAAAAAGGGATGACCTTATCGATCAATCAATTAGTTGAGATTTTACCACCCATGAGAGAAATCAAGGTCAGGTAAATGGAGGAAAAGGAGAATAGATGATGGATTAATGGAGAGGCAGGATAGAGGCATGTTTACCTTGACGCTGTCGTAGCCGGCAAGGTGGAGGAGAGCGTACTGCAACATGCATCCATGGCCAGCAGAGAGCACGAAGCGATCACGGTTAAACCAGTATGGGTTCTTTGGGTTGTAGCGCATCACCTCGTCGTAGAGGATGTGGCCCATTGGGGCACACCCCATGGGGAGGCCAGGGTGCCCAGAGTTGGCCTTCTCAACCGCATCAATTGCAAGAAATCTGATGGTGTTGATCGACTTCTCTATCAATTCAGTCGTGCTCGTCTGGTCCAGTGTCTCGACAGCTGCTGACGCCCTCACTACTGCCTGCATTGATGTCGATGGCTTCCTTGCTCTGCTCCTGCGACTCAACACCACCTTAGTCCCCCTCAGAAAGTTGTTATTTAGGAGTATGGCGGGTGTGTTGGGCTTAGAAGGCAGGGGCAAAGGCAGCGTTGCAGATGATGAGGATCTGCGCTCTGCTGCTGCTGGTGCCCCTGCCAATGGGGCCTGATACATGCCCAGAGACGACGACGCCATTTTTCCTCTGTATCTTCCTTTCTCTCTCCAACTGTTTCTGTCTCCAAAATAAAAATAGGAAGATATATGAGATTATGAGTATATTAAGGAAGGAGAGAGAGACATGCTACTTTAATGACACCCCATTGCAGTAAATATAAAAAAGTTTATATAAGGTTACAACCTTATATTATTGAAGTAAGTTGCACCTCAAGCATCCTCTAAACGAGAGTGATCTGACGTTGAAAAACTCTCCAATTGATCATCACAATCATGAGATGTGCATATGAAGAAAAACGAATTTTCAAGTCATAAAGAAATATCTCATCTTATAACAAGTTATCTAGACCGTCTATTTTCAAGATTTTCAAATGTTGATATGCTCAATTTGTATTATTCTTTAAAACTTTAATTTCATAATTAGTGATAAAAATGGATTTTCAAACCATCATAACGTTCCTGACACGGTAACAACATCTCCAAAGAAATTTTAGAGGAGTGCCCTTCTGGTACAAGCTGGGTAACTTACAAACCTCACCCATTAATAATTATTTTTTGAGAGAGAAAATATGGGGCCGGAGAATATATTTTACAAGGAAAACAAAAAAGTGTTTTGGAAAAAGTGTATTTTATGCAATTGATTTTTCATTTAGTTATAAAAGTTAAACCAAAAGTCACAATGAGAACATAATATGCCCACCCCACCAAATGCTTTGAGATGGACAAAAATAATAATTAAAAAAAAATATAATAATACATGCAAAAATTGTATTCATTTAAATTTTTTTAACAAAAATTAGGTTCTTCCTTAAACAAAACCCGTGATTGAAAACAAAAATCTGAAGATCAGCTAGGCCAATTCCTTTTTAGAAACACGAGTCAACGTGACTCTTTTTTGAATACCAATATTTTAAAACTTAGCTCAGGCATGTGACTTGGCCATAATAGCCCAAACTGAGTAACTCCGCCAAGTCCAAGTAGAATCGGCAGAGTAATGTACATGGCCAGAAAGCCCTGAAAGAGAAGTCAATAAAATTGCTACAAAATCTATATTTATAAAAGTGAAACAAAACTAAAAACAAACTAAGTCCAAATAAACTGAAAAATATCTTAAAAAAATGGAAGAAAAAATTGATTCACGGTTGGAGATATTTTAGAAAAAAACATAAAAAGAGCAAAATACATAAGCCATTGTAAATAACATCCAAATTACATATATAATCTTTATATTTCTTTTTGAGAAATGTTTATTATATAATCTTTATATATTGATCCCACAAATTTATAAAAATTTTATTTCTTTTATTTTTTTAATATGCCTGAGTTATACCCAGTACTTGGCTGGGCAAGGCGCTGAGTCTGAGTAACACTGGACTCGGCCGAGTAGTTAAACATTGCGAAATACAACATGATCCGGATTGGAAATTGTTGGATGACAGAATAAGACCTTGGCAAGCACATTCGTCTAAATAAAATTCCAAAGAAATAATATGGTTTTGGCAAGTAGAGCTGAATTCCAGAAAATTTCACTTGACCAAAAATATATGAAATTCCAAATTTCCCAATTAATTTTTCATTTTAGTAACAATTAAATGGGAAGCAAGCAAATTAAATACCTAGGTCCGATCAAAGAGGCAATTAAGTAAACCATGGACGGGATAATCCGCTAAATTCTTGCTTTAATTAAAATTAGACTTTGGATGGATATTTGATTCTATTGTTTTAAGATGGGACATAAAGAGCACTCTGCTTTCTATACTGCAATTTAATATCTTGAAATCTATGCATGTCTTTGGGGTAAAATGAAAAAAAGATAGTAAATAAGCATACAATTATGCATAATCAAAATTTCCACATATGCGCAGAGAGCAGAGAGAGAGAGAGATATCGCATTGAAAGTGTTTGTAGGGGCGAGAGAGAGAGTGAGTGAGAGGAGTAAGTAGTTAAGGGTTGGGGTTGTCAATTGAGAGAGAGATAGCAGTTGAGGCTTGGGATCGTCAATGACAAAGAACGAGAGAGTAGTTGGGGCTTGGGACGTCGATTAAGAGAGAGTAGCTGGCGCTTGCTATTGTGGATTGAGAGAGAGAGAGAGAGAGTAGACAAAAGCAAGTAGCTGGCACTTGGGATCGTCAACATATCTTGATAATTCAGAGATAAAAAAAAGGAACAGACAACCTTTACCAAGCAGCCAAAACAAGAGAGAGAGAGAGAGAGAGAGAGAGAGAGAGAGCGAGGGGATAAAAGCCAAAATAACAGAAAAAAGGTGTCTAAAACGTTCACAAAAATAGACAAAAAAAACAAACTATACCTTCCAACATAAATAAAAAAGTTGTCCAAACACGAAAGGGCAAAAACAAAACAATCTCAAAAAAAGGAACCAATTTCAGGTAAAAAACGGAAGCTAGCCAAAAAAGGAAGATAGGTTTTGGCTCCACACCTTACCTTTTATGAGAAGCATTCAACCAAATTTCCAGAGTTCAGTGTTAGAGAATTACCAAACAAAAAACCGATATTTTCCGAAAGTCCGTAGTTCAATGACCATTTCTTAGAGAATTTTTAATTACACTACAAAACATATACCTTCCAAGAGCTGAATGACCTTAACTGATATTTCCGAAATTCCATAGTTCAATGACCATTTCTCGGAGAATTTTTAATTACACTACAAAACATGTTTTCCAAAATCCAAGAGCTGAATGACCTTTTCTCTGAGAATTACTTGAGAAAAGACATTTCTAGTGTGTTCAATGACTTTTTCTCCGAGAATTTCTAAAAAAATCCAAATATTTCAGACCCAAGATCATTTATGAGAAATGAGACATTTTTAGTGTGTTCATCCAAATTTCCAGAGTTCAGCGACCTTTTCTCAGAGAGCCACCTATATACTTTCAAAAGATTTCAGACCCAAGATTTCATTTACGACAAATGAGACATTTGTAGTGTGTTCATTCAAATTTCGATCTTCTTTCAAAAAATATTTTAAATTTTAAAATATTGGGATGGAATAATAATTAGCTGTCCATGATTCTAAAGTGAAAAGAACCTATACTCCATTTATTTTTCGATACAATAAATAAAAAAAGAAAGAACCTATACTCCATTCATTTTACTCTTTTTTTTTAAGCTTATCCACCATAAGAAAAAAGAGAGAGAACGTATTTCCCAGGAAAACAACAGCAAGGAAAATAGATATATTTTCTTGAACTAAAGCAAATAATTCAACGAAATCAAAACATAAATGATTTTCTGAGTGAAATCATATAAAAAGGAAAGCTAAGAAATATCACTTGCAAAATAAAAGTATATCGAAAAATCAATAAAAGAGTGTCAGCTTGAATAAATAAATATCATAAAATTCTCCTGGTAATTGATCGTTACCTTGTGAAATATAAGAACAAATATATGAAATATCAGAAAAACAGAGCTGAATTCCTCATTCTTGAGATAAACAATTCAAGCACGAGGCCATAATAAATAGCTAAATTCCACGCAAGCAAGATCCAAAAAAAAACGAATAGACTTTAAAAAACCAAACAAGAAAAAGGCAAACACAAATGAAAAAAAATGAAAAACAAGTAAACCCCAGAATTCTGAGAGGAAACACCCAAAAAAAATGAAAAATAAATAAACCCCAGAATTCTCAGAGGAAACACACAAATGTTAAGTCAAGGCAAACACTTACGAGCTAAATAATGGCCTACTCACCAATTTTCGAACTAGATACAAGGAGGATTGACCCTCGATCTCTCGAAACCCTATCTCGACCAACAATGGCAGACGTAGCACAATGTAGAGAGGGGAAAATAAGGGCTCTGAACAACGCAGCTTTTGCCCGAAATTTGAAGCTTTTAATCGAGGCAGAAAGGCCGAAAAGAATTTAGATTTAGGGTTGGTGAGGCTGCTGCAGCACTTTTCAACCTTGACGACTCGGAGCGAGAGAGAGAGAGAGAGAGAGAGAGTGCAAGTATGTAACCACATATTAATCTCCGTCATCCATACCGCGAGATGCCCGACGCCACGTAAACCGTCCGATTTGAAAGGTCTCAACAGTATCCACCAACCATCCCATCCATTGGTCCAAGATGGGCCTCATCCACTATTCTATGCTATTGGTTTATGCGGTTGGTGAAGGCTCATATTGTGATCTCTTACCTATGGCCTCCCTTCCACCTAACATCCCCATCCTTTCAATTCACCTCTCCTTCTCCCTCTCCCTCTCCCTCTCAAATCATTCTCTCTGACTCTCATAGTTCAAAAGTACAAAGTTTCTTAGAATCGCAAAGAGGGGTGACTTTTTAATACTCAAGCCAAGAATTGGGACAAACTTTTTTGCTCCTCATATTGGTTTTTATCCGGATAAATTGTATATTGGTGTAAATTTTAAAAAATATATATATATTGAGACCATTTATCTTTGATACAAGATCGCCACAATTGATCTTGACTATTGAATGTGAAATTAGGTGGTAAACTCAAACTTCAAAAGAATATTTTTGACCTACCCCATCTATTAAATTTCACATCAAATGGTTATAAATAATTATAACCATCTTATATCAAAGGTAAATAGTCTCCTTCTATACAATCCCTATTCTTATTAAGAAAATTTCCAGCGCGTAAACGACTTGTTTTATTCTAATTCTCTAATTTGTGCCATTGGATTTATACTATAGGGCATAGACTTCTACCCTCTTTGTAACACATTTTCTTACATCATAATACACTCTGATCATGCATTTTAAATGATGGCAAGGCTTTTCTGCCATTGAGTGTTACTTGGCTAGTTAGTTCCACTATTCAACATTACCAGTTAACACTAAAACATTCAAAGTACATAGTGGTAGTTTATGCATTGGAGATGCATATCTACATTTGCATCCTTCAAGGCATAAATACAGTGCATTTTGCTTCTGCAATACACGTGCAACACAAAATGTAGTTGGGTTTAAATTTTGCTTATGCGTTGCACGTATATTGCAGAGCAAAATGCACTATACTGCCACACTAAAGCATGTGATGGTTTGCCGTAGAGAGATCCATTACCTATCTAAAACATTAGGAAAATCACCAAATTTCACATAATACTTATGATATCATAAAAAAATAAATAAATAGTGCTTTCCATCTTGAGAATACAAGTTGATGAAGGTACTTGTAGGTAATTCAATTTCAAACCCATCATAACCAAACCCAAAACTGCACTAAACAATGTAGCAAGGAATGATAGCAAGCAACAGGAACATCAATATTGAAGTGTCCTTCAAGACTTGTCCATTACAAATTTCTCTGTGCAATGACAAAGGACTACAAGAGGAGTGGACAATAGCTTTATGTTGTGTGAACTATCCATTTCCGTTTGTTGTACATAACCCTAGTGGATAAGAGCTTGATGTTGTGCGAACTTTCCATTTCCTTTTGTTGTACATAACCCTGGAAGTGAGATGAAACACGATAATCAATTTTGAGCAATGAAAAACCATGTTTAATCCAATGTATAAATTCAAGTAACATGTAACTGCAATTTTTGATAACCAAAAATGAAAAATATAACATGAATGCCTTTAATTGACGTTCATTACCCATGATCACAACTGTTAGTAAAAAATTATGGATATTAGTTTGAATATTAATAAGATTTTCTAATGCATACAAAACAAAACAGTCATTTACCAATATTCCATTCCAAGTGTGTGTCCAGAGAGAGAGAGAGAGAGCTCACATGTTATTTATTTTTGCACAAAACAAAGCATATTAGTGAAAGCATTTCAAAAGAAAAATATGCAGATAGAATAAAGGAAAATATATCCATAAAAGAATACTTCAAAAGTCATTCAAGGAGTCTATCAATCTTTTTTACAATAGTAAAAGGTCATTCAATGAATTCTTAAATGGAATATTTTATACTAAAACGATGTTATCCTAAAATTTCTTATAGTTGAGAAGATACCAAGTAAATAGAAGCAAACAGTGTAAGATAGCTATAAGGGAAGGCCTACATAGAAAAAAAAAAAAAAAAGAAGAAAGAAGAAGAAGAAGGTTACGAAAAAAATTATTGTAGTACTACTTTAATATTGCAGTATGCAATCGAATTGAAGCAAGATGGCAAAATATAAATGAGAAAAAGAACACAAGTGAACTAAGAGGAAAATGTTGCTCACATATCAAAAGCTGCAAAGAGGTTGATGTACTTCAGGAAAAGAGATATATCTTCCATGCATGATGATGGGGATGAAATACTAAAGCATGCATGTTCCTGATGCAAAAAATTCAAGATTAGTTATTTTGCCAGGGGTATATGGAAAAAAAAGTCAAATTAGGTAATATAATCATATAATCTGTTCACTCATTAAAGCATGAGAATAACAAGTATTTAAAAATTGAAAATTCCTATGCATATTTAGACAAAATAGACGACACATATGCCCAAGTCAAATTATTAATTGATATCAGCATACCTTATTGATCATGCAAGGAGCAAGTGCTCTTGGGAATGTATACAAAGAGACCATTTACTTTTTGTATAAGGAGGTCACAAATTATTCTTACATATTGGATATCAAATTTGATGCTTTAGGATGTGTCACAAAGTCCGAGAAATTTTTTTTGAAGTTTGAGTTTATCTAATGACACTCCTACAACCATCCAATTTGAGATCTAAGGGGTATGAGTGATTTTGACCTCCTTGTATAAAAAGTAAATAGTCTCTTTGTATACTTTTTCAATATAAATACTTAATTAAAAAAACTAAGAGCAAATGTTCTACATGTAATTATGCTTAATACTTGTTTCATGGGATATCAACAGTTATTTTTCATTATGTTTGTGCGCATGTGCACGTGCATGTGTGTGTCGGTGTGTAAGAGAGAGAGAGAGAGAGAGAGGCTTGCATAGTTACAAAGTAATATCAAGAATATGGATATGGTTTGCTCTAGCTATTGGGGATAAGGACATGGGAATAATGAGATAAAAGTGTTGAAAAGTATAGATTTGAGAGAATGTATAATGAATGTGGTGCTTTAATTACATCTATAGTAAGATGGAAAGAATAAGAGGAAATGGTGAGAAATGGTTACAAGATTGATTATAGTGGCAAATACCACCAGAGAGTACAACACATGGAAAATTCCCAAATTTCACAAACTGAGCTTTCATCAATTATTTGGATATCCATCTAGCTTAAGGGGATAAAAAATATCTAATAACAATATAAAATAGTCTCTGTACAACAAGCAACCAAGCCTCCTACAAAAGAGCTGAAAATATGCCTGCAATGGTTGAACAGCCAGACCTCCACTCGTGGCATAACTTATTGTTCTTTTTGTCTGGCATGGAATTGTGCGAAACATGAGCAAGTGCTGCAAGGGTAAATCCCAGCTTTACCACCAACAAAAAATTACATTGATTTAACGATAAGGATAACTGAGACACCATCTTGTTTAATAAAACAAACAATAAATATCTACAATGCAACCAGCGAAAGGCAACAAACAATACATAAAGTCTCATTTTCCATATTCAAAGGCTATTTATACTATTGTGGTCCCTGTTAAATATAATAACTAATCCCAATGTTTCATTCTCACAAATGTTCTATTAGCAGTTTGCCATCAGATTATGGGCAGGAATCAAATCCCAAGTCAACTAAAATATCCGTGTCTTGGGATGCAATTCATATCATCTATGAATCTCTCTCTCTCTCGCTCTCTCTCTCTCTCTCATACACACACACCCTTCCCCCCCCCCCCCACACCAAAAGAACACACAAGAAATAAAAAAAACTGACAAGAAGAGACATAAATATGAACTAACTAAAATTGACCAAATTCAAGGTGAATAGAAACCAAATAAATAGATCTCGCAATCAAAAGTGTTTAATCTCCTGATAAATCCTCCTTGCATAAACCCAAATGCAAAAAATCTACATGCATCATAATTCTCCAATGCAATAAATCTACATGCATCATAAGTCTCCACTGTGGTCTGAAAAAGTTATTATTCTTTAAATAAATCTATCAGTCACACGCTTTGTGAAAATCCTCCAGCCAAGATAGAATCTACCCCATGATTTGGTGAGGTAAAGAAAAGGCAACATGAGAGATCATCTAATGTTTGAGATATCTCTTACTCATATCTTTTGCACTCAGTCACTAGTAGAGATTTTTTAAGAAAACTCAACAATAATAAACATTATTGTTTATTGACATTAATATAACAACAATAAACAGATCTTATGAGGCCTATTTCAAGAATATGTTAATTGACATTAAAGAACATTGCCATAACCCACTCTGCCAGGTGATCCAGCTCCTACATTAGCAAATAGTGTCGAGGATGAAGTAAGCATTAGACAAGCAACCATACCATAGAATAAGAGAGTTACACTTGACCACAACGGGACAAAATTCAGAGGACATATGGTGAATAGAAGACCAATCAAATGCTACATTGGACTTGCAATCTAACAAGCTAAAAGGAACAAAATTCTAATACAAAGCCCTCTATTCATTAAGTTTACAAGGTTTATCAGGTACAACTATTGTGACTTTACATAACTAGAGGAGAACTAAGAGAAAAAGTATAGCGACCAATTCTAAGGTTGACCAGTTTCAAAACAAATTCAACGCTTCCTGGCATCAACTTGAGATTGAGATAATAAACAATTAGAAATTAATTACTTGCATCAAAGGTGTTAGCAAAATACAATGACATGAGATTGATTCATTTAATTTACTTGTCAGCATGGTTATGGTGATGTGACTAGAGCATAAAAAATATGCAAACACCTCTTCCCAGTCTTCATCATCACAAACCACCAATCTTTCGACGTTGGTGCAGCCCTGTCCCTACAGCTCCGTCCCTGCAGCTCCATCTCTACAGCTCCATACCTACAACTCTGTCTCTGCAACTCCATCTCTTTCTCTCTGCGCTCTTTCTCTGTGTACGGAACTGCAGCAAAACCTGTGGCTCTATCACCTGCGGCTCCGTCACCTGCAGCCCCACCCTCATGTTTTTGCCTCTTTCATACTCACAGTTGGTCAAGGCTTGATCTTCATTTCGCGCTCGACAGTGTGTCAGTCCGGAGAAAACTCTCTCAAACAACCGCGAAGGGGCCACATGCCTTGGTGTATTAAGCGTGCACATGTGCTCTTCTTAATGCGGATAGGAACCAACAACAAGAGAAATTTTATCGACAAGGATGCGTTTAGGCGCCTACCTCGTCGTTTGGGGGTTCGGAGATATGCCCGAGCAGTCGCCCTCTTAAAATAATTACGCAGCCCTCCGGCTATCTGCCAGCACGGTTTGGACACGAACTCTCCTCAAATTTCAACACATCATCTCGTCCTTTTATCTCGAAACTTGCAGTATGAGTTCAAATGGCACTCCACTATGATGGTTCACACGAATGGGGGTTGGCTGGCAAAGAAGGAATGAAGAAGAGGGGGGACTGACATTCTCTTACCCATCTGAGCGTTACAAGACTCGACAATCAGAGCAACAAAAGAGTTGGAACTCTCATGACTACCAACTCAAGATGACTCCAACGGAGTGAGTGAGGGCGAGAGCATATATGCCTCTGATAACTCAACTCAACTGTATGGAGTGGAAGTTGGAGTGGTAATCGGAGTGTTAAAACTCTTAAAATGGCTCTAAAGAGCACTAAGTCCAACACATAGTGGTTAAGAGATACTATCGGTATACAAGAGAGAGTGAGGAAAAATGACAAGAAAGGTTCGTGTCCGCGCGACGGGTCGGACACACGTGTGAGTACAAAAGAGGCAAAAAGATGAGAGTGGAGCCACAGGGTGCCAGCTGCAGGTTTTGCTGCAGTTCCATACGCAACGAAAGAGCGCAGAGAGAAAGAGACGGAGCTGGGACATAGCTGTAGAGACGGAACTGCATGGATGGAGCTACAGGAATGGAGTTGCAGACATGGAGCGGCAAGGATGGGGCTGCAAGGATGGGGCTGCAGAGACAGAGCTGCAGGGACAGGGCTGCAGAGATGGAGTTGCAGGGACGGAGCTGTAGAGATAGAGCTGCAGAGATAGCAAGGACGGAGCTGCAGGAACGGAGATGCAGAGACAGAGCTGCTGCAGCTCCGTCCCTGCAGGTTTTGCTGCGGCTCCGTACACAGTGAAGGAGTGCACAGAGAGAGAGAGAGGAGCTGTAAGTAGCTGTGGCTTCGGGTTGTTGTGCAGAAAGAACGGGGTAGAGAGAGAAAGAAGGAGAGAGGGGAAAGAATAGGTGTGGGGTGTGACCAAGTCTAGGTGCTCCACCTTTAGACCCCTTGCTTACACATGAGAGAGAGAGGGGGCTAGACGTGGGTCAAGGTTGGTGTGTATGGATCATGGGGTAGGCTAGGATGTATGAACTAGGGTGGTATAGGGTCTAGACTTGGATGTAGGGGCTATGGTGTAGGCTAGGGTGTATGGGCTAAGGGTAGTTTCTCTTTCTAAAAGCTTTCTCTCTCCTCACCACTTAATCTAGGAGTTAGAAGCAAAACATGAGCTTAATGCCTCAATTTCATTAAAAAATGATCAAGCCCCTGTACAAATGACCTAAACATGTTTATGTAGAACAACCACCAAACATGGGTGGAATGCTCAAAATTAATCCAAATTGCTGAAAATTACATGTTAAATGAATTAAAATAAAATCCCGTTTTTGGGCATAATGACCAAAATACCCATTTGATTTTTGACCAAATGACAAAATCATCCCTCCCTGAGGGGCCTCTTGTCATTGCTAGACTTCGAGAGCTTTTTCGAACCCTTACGATGGTGATTCGGGCGATCGATCGTCGTAGAATCGATGCTTGATCCGTCACGAACATTTTGATGCCCATTGATCGTCTTGAAACAAATTTTTCATGGAGGGGCAAAAATCTGGCTAAATCTATAAACTTCGACCACCAATGCAGTGCGATCCATGATGTTCTGAGTCCTCATTTTGATCACAAATTAAAGAGGATATTGTCATGATCATTCTGCACCAAATTTCGTCTGATTTGATCTCCATTCTAGAATGTGGGAATGCAGTTAGGCCCGGGTTGTTAGAGGGGCTGGAGCTTCAATCCATTGAACAGAAGTTATGTATATTTGAATTTTGTACATTCATGTATTTGCTATTGATTGTAAACTTGCATTGATTGATTTAGTTTTGAGGTAAGTGCAGAAAATTGCATTGATTTAGTTTTGAGGTAAGTGTAGTAGTATGATAACTTTTTGTTTTTATTTTTTTTCAATAATTGGGCCGCTATTATATGTTTTTATATTTGTACATTCTTGTAATTGCTTTTCGTTGCAGATGCTTGGTCTCAGTTTAATTTTTCTTATTTTGTCTGCAATAAATTAATCATATTGATTTCTAGCGATGGTGGATTTGTATAAGACATTTGTAAAATGCAAATTTTGTGTTTTTACTAAAGTGTGATTCCTGTAGTTTTTATTTTATTTACTTATTTATTTTTCAAATCTGTTATCCTCATTTCTAAATTTTTAGTGTATAGAAGTTTGTGTTATTGGACAGTTATCCATTTTGATTATACCTTCTGATTTCTAACGATGGTGGATTTGTATAAGTCATTTGTAAAATGCAAATTTTGTGTTTTTACTAAAGTGTGATTTCTGTAGTTTTTATTTTATTCACTTATTTATTTTCCAAATCTAGTATCCTCATTTCTAAATTTTTAATGTATATAAGTTTGTGTTCTTGGACATATATCCATTTTAATTATACCTTCTGATTTCTAACGATGGTGGATTTGTATAAGTCATTTGTAAAATGCAAATTTTGTGTTTTTACTAAAGTGTGATTCCTGTAGTTTTTATTTATTTACTTATTTATTTTCCAAATCTATTATCTTCATTTCTAAATTTTTAGTGTATATAAGTTTGTGTAATTGGACATTTATCCATTT